CTTCTGTTTCGACTCATCGTACTGAATAAAACAATTTGATGAATTTTTCAAATCTTGAAATCTAATAGAACCTTTCAATCCGATCGTAAGAAGCGAGCGCACAGAAAAAAGTGTATAGCGCATTGTTATCCGGCAAAATGTAATTCAAGGATACAGCGAGCGGATAGAGGAGAAGGAGACTCAATGCTCAGGGTTTGTACAATACTCGAGGAAACCTTTGTGGCATTGTGTGCAAGCTAAGTATGAAAAAGAAAATTTTCTGATACCAGTTGCTGGAACGATGCTAGGTACACCCATTGAAGCGCCCTATACCTGCTGCACTTTCTTCCATTTATTTTCTATACAAGTGAAAACAACAATAGGACAGCTGCGAGATGAGCCACACCGAAGACGATCATCCTAAACGCGTTTCACGCCGTGCTCAACTTAACGCTTGATTCAACTGTAATTGCAAAGTGGTTGCAATTGCCTCTCGTCCGGAGAAGTAATACGGGATCATTTAGTTAGAAGCAGAATATTTCACTTTTGTAGAGAAACGATCATCCTAAAACAGCTTTTTAAATTCGATTGTGACAAAAGATAACAGATTGTCTAATCCGTTCTTTCTTTGCATTGCATTTCTCACATGGACGAAATTGCTACTCTAAATGATTGTTACTGATATGCAATGAATCACCTAAACATAATTTAACGTTCAGATCACGTCACCGATAGTTTAACAAATGTTTTCTGAGCATCGTCTACTATATCTTTTATGTTGCGCAGCGCGAGTACAAACAATGAGTAACCGCTGGCCGCGAAATTAGCTACTCGCGTTACACGCTGTCCGATAATAATAATTCGATTCGATTAATTGCTCAGCGGGTTGCAACTTCTTCAGACGCAGAACATCATTCATTCATTTTTACCGATTGCCCGTTCGACGGGGCTTTCATCTCGGAGAACTAAAAGGAATTGGATCTCCAATCGCGATTTAAACCGTAACTGCTCGTTTCACTTTTACTTTTATCTGTAAAAGTTCACGGATCTATTCAATCGCAGGAAATTCGTAAACTTTTTTTCTCTATTATATTCCGCTGCTCTTAATTTCAGGCGTAAAATTCACGCTGAATCGACATTCTCCTTTCACTAGTATCATCTTTGAAAAGCAGAAACTGCGTGTAATCGATTTTTAATCTACAAATACCTTTACTTTCTACCAAAACGGTTGCTGAATTATATCTGGTCTTACAATTGCTTAGCCACTTTCTCATAATTTCAGTAATGTAGTTAGAATCGATTAAAATCAATTTTTCTATCTACAAAAACTGTATATTAATCAAGCCACAGATTTATAAAATAATAATTAATCTAGTTCTATAAAATTGATATTAAGTGACAGTGGAAAATTTTAAGTCACTTAATATTTCACTCAAGGTTATAAACAGGACTGCAAGCTGCTGGTTCCTTAAAAAGGAGCGGTTCAGGAGTATAGACGACAAGGCTTAAGTTTTTGTCGACCGTGCAAAAAAAGACAATGGTAGTGGTTTTTATCTGTGACAAAACGGTACGCGAGGCCTACACATGCTAGTACTCAGCTTATCTACGTTACAGAATCAGAAAAATTGTTTTTACAACCGACTGGGTTGTATGTAGACAGCACGCATCCTGCTTAAGGCACGCGCTTAGATTCGTCATGATAATTGATGTAATTCTAGCTGAAAATCTTATAGAAACACAAGAAGATTAATTCTAATATGCATTTTGGGTATATTTAAAAGATTCAATAAATCAAAAAAGCCTACGACGATTTTATCAACTTAAATAGTCAATCGTGACTCTTGGCAATAAAAATTCAATACGATATCATAGTGGAAAAAACTGCTGAAAAGTATCAGAAATTGCATAACGCAATTGCAAACATGTGACTGAATTTACGATAAATACGGGCACAGTGTGCTAGTATCTATGCCATGGGATGAGAGATAAAACCGCGACTTCTCTTCTATGGCTTAGCATAGTTTACTGACTAAACAGAAGTTCTTTCACTATCTTCTGTCCTTCGAAGATAGTCAATACGGACAGATCGAGTGTCCGGATCACTGTGTGCACGATACGTGAATGTACTGCGTTATATTGAACGAGAAAATAAGTGTATTCTAGCACTACCAAGTGTATTCATATACAGAAGTTAATACGTATAAAAAAGTCAATAATACGGATATTAAAAATTGATGTAGTTATTAACTTTTACACCGTCGCAAACCCTATCGGCTGAAGAATTGAAAAGTACTTTGTTTTACGGCATTCTTATATCCTTGATACAATCACGTGTGACTTTTTAAAGACGTTTTAACGTAACTAATGTACCGGCGATCTAAAGATTAAGAGATATTTCTTCATTAATGAAATTCCTACTGAACGTGAGAAAGTACACATCTGTAATGATTAAAATACAAATTACAGTCTATAGCGAAAGGTTAAGCAGAATATCAATGCCGACACAGAAGCCCTTTTTCAGTCATGAATAAAGTTCATTATAATCGCATTCAATGGCTCTGTCGGTTTTACGAATTACCTAACTAAAATATTAAGTCGCGTATCTTTGTAACCTGCTGGTGAATAAATGAACAAAAAATATCACGTTCCTCGTTAACACGATCATTAAACTCATTAATTATCATTCTAAATACATGTTACTATTATTAGATAGTGTGGAATGCTTTAAAGCGTTCATGCTTTTGAATGAATTGGATTTACTCACAAAATTCGTCCTCTCTATTCAGCGTTCGACGTTGCGAAGTAAATTATAGGGAGATTAAAAACTTCCATGACATACACACGAGAATGATCGCGAATAACCACGACATGGCTGACTCGTCATCAGCTGACAGATAAACGATTATAATAAGATTGCCGAGGTGCATCCGATGTTTAACGTGATCTAGAAATGTTCACGGTTACGCGACTGGCTTCATTGCATTGGGAACTCACGTAAAATAGCAGTTGCCCTTTTTGAATCTGTTTTCACATAAGAATAAAAAGTCGCTGAAGCTTTGTGCATGCTTCAAAGTTTCGTTTAATCGCGTTATGAAAAAGGTAAACAAAGAAACCCGCGGTTGATTTTACAAACACTATCGACTGGAACATGTATACTATACATATACATTGCCAGTGCGAATCGTACAAATTCGCTATCTCATGATCAAAGAAATGCATTAACATTCTATGGAATATACATGAGAAAACTGTACTAAAATACATGTACGTAGGACTGATCATAATAATCGTGTATGTACTTATCGTAAATATATTGATACGTAAGACGTATCTCTTCTTCCTTTTCTGTCTCATTCACTTCTTCGGACACAAACGAAAATTCTGTACTTTTGATTGACCTCGCTGCGGCATATGATCGAATGTCTAGCTTTTCGCCGGCGTGAGCGAAGATACGATTTATATAGATATCAACTTATTTTCTAACAACGTGGAAAATCGTAGGACATCGCATGAACACCGAGGCTAAGGGGGCGCGGTCGTAAATCTCATGTAAAACGATAGTAAAAAGTACGAGTACGTGCAAAGCTACTGCAGGAATGCAGAAAGAGAATGGGGAAGAGACAAAGAGGGAGAGAAGCAGAGTTGTCGCGTGTGTCTTTCGTGTACGTACGTATGTACATACACCTGATGGATGGCTCGATGGGGAAATGTAAATGTATATACGAACTTACGTGTGTATACAACACGAAGGGCCTCACTTTCTGCTTGTACCACCGATCAACTGTCGAGTCACTGCACTTTTTTCTTCGCCTTCTATTTTTCTACTTTCCGCTCACATTACCGCGCGCGTTTCTTTTACGAATCTCGATTACGACTCGACTGTGCACCATATCACGACCCGCCGATTCGCCACTACTCACATTATACATATACCCGTTTACGTTAACGAACGCCGCGATTGAGATTCATTGCCCACCCAACATCGGCATCTTGTGCTCGCTTCGACTGGCCTCCTTCGACTGCGCGTCAAACACTGTGCAGTGTGCACTGCGACCGAACACGACTGAATCTGAATCTGAATGCGTCCAGTGAAATTGTAGACATCCGCCGCAGGAGGGAGTGGAGGAACTGGAAAATCCCTTCATAGTACACGCTTTTCTTCACTAGATGTCGCGACGCCCATGCGTAGCTAGCGTCATCACACTGTTTTAAGTTTTGTCGCTTTATTTACAAGATCATTTATATCTGTACGTAAACAATTCTGAGTGAAAAATGCCGAAAGTAGTTTCAAGAAGTATAATATGTTCAGATACGAAGGATCAGGAAGAATACAGTGAAGAGAAACCATTGCACATTTATTATTGCTTGTGTGGACAGATGACATTAATTTTAGGTTAGTTCTATCATTGTTTATAGTATTGTTTATTTGTTTAAAAATTGTGAACAAGTATACATAACACATTTGTACATACTGTGACAGATTGTGCCATAGAAAAATTGCCTTTGAGAAAAAGGGATGGTGCTCGAGTCATTGATGGAAGTAAACACGCTCATAAGATGACTTCTGAACAGGATGAGACAGTATATTTAAAACGACCAGAGGGCATAGAAAAGCAATATCGGCAAAAGTGTAAAAAGTATGACACTTTATTTTGAAGAACAAATTGGTATTTTTGCAAGTTGCTGATGATTGCATTCATTTATATGAATATCTTTGCAGATGTGGCCTCTTTCTTTATTATAAACATGATCAAGCGACGAATATTGTATTTATTGTAAAAGGTGCAGTGATCAAAAGTTCTGGAGAAGGTCCAATGACAGACATATACAATCAAGTGGCTGTTGAAAAACCCAAGAAAATAATGGTGACGAAACATACAAAAAATATGGGGAAGTTCAGCTCTGTTACTGTTTCTACAATTGATGAAGAAGAAGATGAGATTGAAGCGGTAAGTTGTCTTTGGATTATATGTCTGATCCTTGTATACGTTCATTTAAAAAAGAAATGAAATAAAGAGTTAGAAACATCTGCAGTGAATAGCTGTGTTAGATTTGAAAATTGTGCACAATTCAAATGCAATATTACTCTAAAAACTTGATGTGCAAGAAATTTACTTGGAATCTTATGTATTAATTTGTACTCTTGTCATAAAAGAAAAGACGTACATTAGAATTATATTACATTTGCAGAGAGAAGTTGCTGATTCGTATGCTAATAATGCACGAATAATAGAGAAACAATTAGAGAGGAAAGGAATGAATAAGCGCAAAGCTATGCCTCCGCCTGAAGCAGATCCAAAAAGAACGAGACCTCGTGGAACTTTATTAGATGTATAAGATATAATTTAAATGAATATCATCACATAATTAACTTTATATAAAATTGTACATAGAAAATTATAATTAGACGACGTTGGACAATTTTTGTAAAGATCGTAATTTATTTTTATCCTATCATGCCAAAGTTTCAAATAGAAAGTAATGATTCACAGAATTAAACGATTCTTTAACATTATATATCGAGTTATTTATTAACAT